GGACCAAAACAGGCTGCTGACCCCTAAAGAGAAAAATAAAGTGAGTAGAAATCGAAAACTTGGGGAGTGGGGGTAGAAAAACAAAACGAAAAAAGCAACGACTTTAAGGCGAGATGCTGTTTCAAGTCTTCTTATGCACCTCCTTTTTTTCTCTCTCCTTCCTTCCTTCATCTCCCGGCAGCTGAGAAAACCCATGATCGAAAAAATGCGCCGGGACCGCATGAACAGCAGCATCGAGCAGCTCAAACAGCTGCTGGAGAAACAGCTGCAAAGTCAGCAGGCCGGTTCCAAGTTGGAGAAGGCCGACGTCCTTGAAACGGCCGTGGGCTACCTGAAGCATCAGAGCCGCTGGCAGAGTACAGGTGTGTCAATCAATCAAGAAGAGACTGGACAGACACCTGTCCGAAATGGCAACAGGGGTTTTCTGCTTGGGTGGGGTGGGTTGGACTAGAAGACCTTTGAGGTCCCTTCCAACTCTGTTTTTGTTTTTGTTTTCCATTTGGGCTACAGACCCCTTTCGTAGCCTTCCTCGGAATCGTTTGCTAGGAATGGATAGCCTGATTTATTTTTAAGGATGGGTTTATTAAATCATTAAATGCATATGCTGCCTATCTCGCTGTTGGGTGACTCTTAGCAAGAGGTTAAAAACAGCAGTATAAAACGTGAAAAGTTTCAAAAAGGATGGATATTTACATTAACATGAGCAAAGGGAGCTAACGAAGGACGCAAAATACAAGTGGGGTGAAGGTAGAAGGGGTCCTAACTAACCCCTAGCTAACCTTGATGGGGTTCAAACCAACATCTAAGGCAGAGACTTTTTCTTGCCTTAATTCCAACATTGCTGATCAGAAAGTCCTTGTTATCCAGCGTCACAAAACCCTTTTAAGTCCATTTAAACACCCCTGTTCTGATGGGTAAAGAGTTTGTGTGCTTTACTCGAAGAAAAAAAAACAATTTTTATCCAGTTTGGGGTGATTTAGCACTGGTTTCGTGTTTGAGCAGGTGGATGCCTGGAAAATGGGCACACACACTCCCCTCCCCTACCCTTGTGATCAACTGCGTCAACCTTGGCTCCCAAGGGGATTCAAAGGGACTAGAAGCTTGATGCAGAAAAAGTAATTTTTGTGTGTGTGTCTTTCCCAACAGGGTCCGCTCCCAAGGAGAGGGAAGTGGACTTCCAAGAAGGCTACGCCAGATGCCTTCAAGAAGTCTCCCGGTTCCTGCTCCTTCACAAAGTCCACCCCCAGACTCAGAAGAAGCTGATGTGTCATTTTCAACACACAACACCCCTGCCCGCCTCGTCCTCGTCTGCTCATTGGAAGCAACCCGCTCCTCCCAAGAACCTCCCATCTCTTTGGCGACCGTGGATGGAGTCCAGTAGAGGATGAAGAAGGAAGGACTCATCTCCTTTGATTTATTAGCCGGCCTCCTTTTCTTTCCTTCCTTTTGGGGGGAAGGTTTGGATGTCTTTTTCCCCTTTTGGGAAAAAAAAGAGAATATTATTTATTCTCAAGAGGGGAGGAAGCAGATGGGACAGGGGAAGTGAGAAAAGCCAGCGTGGAAACTGCACCAGGTGGCTGGTGGACTGTTAGCCGCCTGGTCCCACGCGAGGAGAGGGGTAAGAAACCTGGTTCCCCTGCTGCTTTGGCTAACCAGGTTTAGCTGGTGGGGGGAAAAAGTTGCTTGGCAACCCACCCACCAGCGTGGGCTTCCTAGGAACGAGGCGACGAAGGGGGTGGCTTTGGGACCCCTTTCCCTCTCTTAAGGAAAGCATGCATCTTGCTTTATATTAAAGAGAAGAGGTGCTTAATGGTTGGATGTCATACATTTGGGAAGTAAGGAAGGACGGCCTGCGTTTGTGGGGCGCTGTGTGTGTGGGGGGAAGTTGGAGGTCTCCTTTCAGACCAGCCTTGTTGTGTCTTGGAGGGGGAGGACAAAGGAGGGTGTGTCTGGGGGGGGGCGTTTGTTCTGCAATGGGCATACTGTGTATGCGGTTTGTTTGAGAAAATAAATACAGACCTGAAAAAGGCAACCCGTGTCTCTGTTTTCTGGGCCTCGTTGGGGGGGGGCAGAAATGATAAATAAATACATCCTCCCTGGCTTTGTGAACCTGCAAAAAAAAATGGGTTTTTTTTTTAAAAAAAGGTCCAATTTCCTGCTGATAATAAAGCATCTGTACAACATTTAACTTTGCAACCTTTTAAACAAACTTTAAAAATAGGGGAAATTATCTGTTAAAACAGTTAAAATGATAGGGAAAACAAATTCAAATCAAAATTATCATATTTGTTGCGTTTACTTTAATATGGATTCAGGCCATTTTTTCCAACTTTTCCTGCAAGAGGTATTTAGATTTTTGTAGCTATGGGGCATCCTCCTGCTCAGCTCCCCACCTCAGAGGTCTTCTAGGCTGACCCCCTGCTCAAGCAGGAGACCCTAGACCATTTCAATCAATCAGAATAGAGCTGGAAGGGACCTTGGAGGTCTTCTAGTCCAACCCCCTGCTCAAGCAGGAGACCCTAGACCATTTCAATCAATCAATCAGAATAGAGCTGGAAGGGGCCTCAGAGGTCTTCTAGTCCAACCCCCTGCTCAAGCAGGAGACCCTAGACCATTTCAATCAATCAATCAATCAGAATAGAGCTGGAAGGGATCTTGGAGGTCTTCTAGTCCAACTCCATGCTCAAGCAGGAGACCCTCTACCATTTCAATCAATGAATCAATCCATCAATCAGAATGAGAGTTGGAAGGGACCTTGGAGGTCTTCTAGTCCAACCCTAGACCATTTCAGACAGATGGCTGTCCAGTCTCTTCTTAAATGACAATGCCAATTTTCGATTCTTAGCAGCCACATAGACTGATTTCCCCCGGAAATAATATTTCCCTAATAATCAGTGGTTAATAGCCCATTCCCAATTTCTTGCGGCTTGAAAAAAAAGTGGTCAAAAGGTCTTGTCACTGAAAAAAAAAAGAACTCATAATCCTGGGAGCTGGTGGTTTAACTCTGAGGTTAAAACAAAGGGCATGTCCCCTGGGGACGGGGTGAAAAATCTCTCCCGACCCAGTTATTCATCAAATACTTGAATATTTATACACTGAAATAAAGAATTTATTGTTAAGTTTCTCTCCGGCGATTGCAAAAGGCTGAAATCACAGCGTCTCACTCCTGCCCTCTAGCGGCCAGAGGTGGAATGAAAGTCCTGCAAAGAAGTATTTAATTTCTGTTCAAAAGCGCGGGATAGTGTTCTTCTCCATCTTTTACAATAACCCTGCAAGGTGGGCCACGCTGGGGGCAAAATATCCGGAATATTTTGAATTCAAAACTCCCCCAAACGCTGGAAGTTCTGAGAGTCTGAAATACAAACTCTTTTATAAATGCAAAGTAGAAAGAGAAAGAAAGAAAGAGAGAAAGAGAGAAAGAAAGAAAAAGAAAGAAAGAGAGAGAGAGAGAGAGAAAGAGAGAGAGAAAGAGAAAGGAAGGAAAGAAAGAAAGAAAAAGAAAAGGAAGGAAGGAAAGAAAGAAAGAAAGAAAAGAAAGAAAGAAAGAGAGAAAGAGAAAGGAAGGAAGGAAGGAAAGAAAGAAAGAAAGAAAGAAAGAGAGAGAGAGAGAGAGAAAGAGAGAAAGAAAAAGAAAAGGAAGGAAGGAAAGAAAGAAAGAAAAAGAAAGGAAGGAAGGAAGGAAGGAAAGAAAGAAAGAAAGAAAGAAAGAAAGAAAGAAAGAAAGAAAGAAAGAAAGAAAGAAAGAAAGAAAGAATGGGGAAAAAACCAACCAGCCACTAAAACTTCAGAAAAAAGCGCTGTTCATTTTAATTCTTCCTCCTTGCAAACCCACAGATAAGGATCCGAAGCAAAAGGAAGAGAGACCAACCATCGATTTTAGTAACCGGGTGTTAAAAACAGAGAGAAGTAACTGCAGGGGAAAACCAATATTGTCTGTTTTCCACTTAAAGAAGCTGAAGTCTCCATTTTTATTAAAAAAAAAAAAAAATTCTCCCTGCTGGGTCAGCAACATTTTTTCACCCGCCAATCTGAAGGGCTGAGAAAGGAAATGTGATCTTAGCCAGCCGTGGAAATCAGCAAGATTTTTAGAGAAAGGCCGAGCTAGGCAGAAACGATTAACTGTCTCCATGAAGATTAAAAACAGTTGAATCTTAATTTCAATTTTAAGCAAGGCACCGAGGGGAGATGGGTGGTGATACCAGCCGAATGAATGAATGAATGAAATGAAATTAAATAAATTCAGAAATCGTGGGCACTCCATCACTGGAGGTTTTTAAGAAGAGACTGGACAATCACTTGTCTGAGATGGTGTAGGTTCTCCTGCTTGAGCAGGGGGTCAGACTAGATGACCTCCAAGGTCCCTTCCAGCTTCTATTCTGTTCTGTTCTGTTCTATTCTATTCCATTCCATTCCATTCCATTCCATTGTATTCTATTCTGTGACGCTATCTTTAATATTGTGAAACATCTGCCTCTCCAAGACTCGAGAGGTGTACAAAATTGCAAAACCCAGGCTAAACATCTGGCTGAAACGGTGCAACCCACCCTAATAACACCCTTGGCGTTGACAACACCAGCATCGGTCAATTGCAAAAGGCAACTGGACTGGGAACAGCTGACATCCTGCGACGGCTATCTTTCACATTATGAAACATCTGCCTCTCCAAGACTCGAGAGCTGCACAAAATTGCAAAATCCAGGCTAAACATCTGCCTGTCACTGTGCAACGAACCAGAACACAGAATCAAAGTAGACCTCGATCAGGTTTTCCGAGCTGGCAGCAAAAGGACGCTTGCTGAATAAACAATAAATTGCTGTATACACACAAAGGATCCAGATCAGGAAATGAGGCCACTGTGAGGGTGTGGACTGCAGAGAAAATTATTTTCATTTTCACTTCAACTTTAGACAAGACTGGATCTCTCGGGCTGGAGGGAAAAAAAAACAACACTTTCTCCAGGAGACCAAGGGCCAATTTCAGAGGAATTTAAAAAAAAAAAAAAAAAGATCAAACGATCGGAAGAAGTTTGGGATGCTGCGCAAGGAATCCATTGACTGGAGAGCCATTTCAGAAAGCCTTGATCCTATGGCTTTCCTTCTCTCTCTGGGATCGCTGTAATTGGGGGGCAACATGTTCCCGGTAAGTCCATGCTTTAAAATGGAAGAGAATCTATATTTACTGTGATTTTTATTATTGCCTGTTCACCGCCCTGAGTCCCGTAAGGGAGATAGGGCGGTATATAAATTTAAATAATAATAATAATATATAGCAAAAGCTTTCAGTCGCCCTTCAGAGCCAGGAAATATTAGCCGGTGGAACGGTCTGCCACTTGAAGCAGAGGTGGGTGAAGGAAAGCAGAAGGGCTCTTTTTGTTGTTATTGTTATTATTATTATTATTATTATTATTATTATTATTATTATTGTTTTTCAGAGGTGGTTGGTTTTGGTGGGGTTCTTGCAATTCTGTGAATGACAGCTATCACCAGGGACTAGAAACTTGTGCTGCGGTTAAGGGGTCAGCCATGCAAGAAGTTTGAATTTCCACTGTCTGGCTTGGCGAAAGTGTAACAAACAAGGTGTCTTTTTTTTGTGTGTGTCTTTCTCTTCCTTTTTCCAGTAACTCGGGGAACAAAAGTGAAAATGCTCTGAACAAAACAGGAGTCAGAGCCAATGCCAGATTTTGTACGGGGAAGTGCTGGAAAATAAAAATAAAAAGCATTAACTGGCTTCCCAGGCAGGATCTGGTTTGTCCCCCCCCCCGTCCTCCTCCCCCATGGCTGGCAGAGATTTGCAGGGGCAGGCAAAACATTGACCCCCCCCCAATGAGAAAAGTGCCCTGGAAAATCCTAAAACCCGTCCTTAGATGGAGGGGTTCAAATGTGTCGTGTGAATGCAGTTCCCAAATACAGGAGGGAGAAAAAATGGGCTATTTGCGGCTGGGGGATTGTAACTGTATTTTTATATATATTTTTTTTAAAGTTGGGGGTCAGAGTCTCAGGTCGGGGGTGTGTGCCAACGGGGGCACAGCCCTACAATGGCTGGGGGGAGGGTTTAAAGTCAGTGGTGGGTGGGGCCAAACGCCGGGGGAAAAAGTGACTTACGACCGTTTTTCACACTTAACGACCGTTGGCTGCGTCCCCGCGGTCACGTGATCAAAATTCAGACGCTTGGGCAACCGGCTCGTATTTATGTCCCCGGGGTGTGTGTCTCGCGATCCCCCTTTTGCGACCTTCTGACCGGCAACGCCAAGGGGGAAGATTCGTTTAACGACCGTGTGACCGACTTAACAACTGCAGCGGTTGGGAAGGAAAAAAGTCGTACAATGGGTCAACACGTAGGTAACAACCGTCTCGCTTAGCAACGGAAAGCTGGGGCAGAATTGCGATCGTTACGTTCTCACCGTGGGAACTGTTTTCACAACAGCCCTGCGGAGTAGGCCAGGCTGAGAATCCTAGATGTCTGTAAAGCTACTCAATTTCACCCATCTTTTCATATTCCCATAATGGCTGGCCGTCCCCCTCCCCACTTCCCGTTCTTTAAAGTCCCAAATTGTAATTTTGAACTTCTTCACACAGAACTAAAAGAGAAAGGAAGAGAAGAAGAAGAATAACAAAATCTTCCCCTTTTTGTCAGGATGGGAATTTTTTTTTTTCTTAGAAAAAAAAAAGAGCTTTTTTTTTAATTGCCAGCCACAAGCGCTGAGTAAAACCTGAGTGGGTGGGGAACTGGAAAACCCAGAGAATTGCTTATTTTAATTTATTTTTTTGCACGTCTCACTTTTTTTCTGGTATGTGTGTGTTTGCCTGGCCGGGCACTCCCTGGGTGCAAAAATCTGGAGGAGATTGCAGAAAAATACCGACGGTGTCATAAACAGAAGAACCTCATAATTTGCGAGCGGACTTTTTCCTAGTGAAGAAAAGTCCAATTTTCCCAGCTCTGAAATTCTCTTTTCTTGTCAGGAAATATTACATTTTAAAAGGTGGAAAAAGGTTGGAGGAATTTCCACTTTCACCAGCCTGGTTTGTGCTCAGATTTCAATGGGTTTTGTTTTTTTTCTTTTCAGGCAAAGTTGATGCCAAATTTTACCATTTCCTGTAATGTTTTGCTGCTGGCGTTAAAAGTAAAAACAGCAGTAAAGGTGCCAATGAAAGGGCAGAATTAAATTTTGCGGGAAGACCTGAGATTCATTTTTTGAGTTGAATATTCTCTCTGTTTCCTTGAAAGGAGATTTGAGTCAGCCAAAGGATCAAAACCGCTTTTTTAAAACAAATTAACACTTTTTTTTTTGCTAATTTAGCTACAGGTTTGGGGTTTTTTTTGTTTTTCTAGTGATTTCAATCTGACTCAGGATAGAACTTGCCTGAAAATGCATCGCAAAGCCGTTTTGTTAAGATCTACCTAGTTAATTCTGATTTTTTTTTTTGCAGCCTGTGCAGCAAAAATGAAAAATAAAAATAAAAATCAGGGCCTTGATTTCTGCTTTCATCTTATTTACTTTCCAGGTTAAGCTGAGCATTGATATTTTTCCTGGCTCTTTTTAAATCTGCATGCTCCTGGTTAAATTTTAATTAACGTTAGACTTACAGTGCCTGAAAAAAAAAAAAAGCAGAATTTGAGGCCGTGCATGGTCATGCAAACCTGTCAACTAACCCTTTTATGCAATGATTGCAAAACAGCGGTTGTATAACAGCGGTTGTTTGCGCAGAACAGGAATTTCCCAGGTCTTCTTCTTATGGAAGCATGGAAAATTGAGATTGTGCCAACTCCAAACCCTCTTCTAAATTTTAAAAGTCTCTTCTTGAAAAACCTTCCAGGGATGGAGCCCCCCACAACTTCTGGGGGCTGATTAATTGTTCTCAC